TTTTTTTTTTTGGTTCTAATGTCTTCCTAATTGAAATTATAGACCTGACTGACAAGCTTTCGAATTGTTGTTTCTATTATAATTGTTGTCGCTGTTGCAGCAGCACAACCACAAAGTTTTGTAAAAGAATTTCATTTTAGTTAGACGACTACTGGCTGGATAAAAAGTTGTTAGTGCTCATGATGCATGTGTCATCCACGTTGGAATTTCGCTTTCAGCCGAAGACCAAGATTTATTGCCGTCGCCTTGGCTGGGTGTTAGTCAGCTAGCTGAATGCTGAGCATCTTCACTTACATACATACATACATGTGTAGATGTGACTAACGATGTAAATCTCGTAGGCTTAACTTGAGGATTAATGAGTAATTATTTAATTTTGCAAAGGTGTTTGTGGGAAGGCCAAAGGGTGTTTCCGAATATTTAAATATGTAACTTAATTTTAAAATAGATTCCAAATACAAAATTTTTAAAAATTTTCTGGTGGAAGAAAACTAGTTTAGGCGTATGTCTATTCATAGGCGTATGTAGTTATGAGCGAAAAATCGGCATATATTTTTGACAATTTAAAATTTGAACATATTCTTCCATTTTTAAAGAAATATTTTTTAACAAATATTTATATCACATCACTAATGTAGGCATCTACGTATTTAGAATACGGTTTATATCGCTTGCTTTATTAGGTTCTCAAAAAGTTTGACAGCAAGTGACGTCATTGTCTTGAATTTTCCATATTGGCACACGACAGACTTTTTTCATTTTAGCTTATTACTTGACACACTTTTAAGTACTTATCTTTAAAAGATTAATTGCCTATTCGACCTTCACGTTCTAACACAGAAACAAACTAACAACACTTGGTAAAAAAAAATAAGAAATACATAAACATACATATCGCTCATTTGCTCAAAAAACGTCATAAATAAAACAAAAAAAAAATATTTATTTTTTTTTGTTAATCTTTTTTTGTAGCTAAGTGTGCAAAACTCGCCGCCAGCTCTTATTATATCTTTTGTTTAAGATATTGGTATTGGATTTTTTCT